AGGAACTCTCTCTGTAGACCAGGCTGGCCTCGAACTCACAGAGATCCACCTGCCTCTGCCTCCCGAGTGCTGGGATTAAAGGCATGCGCCACCACCGCCTGGCTCTGGAGGCATTTTCTTAATTGAAGTTCCCTCCTCTCAGATGACTTTAGCTGTGTCAAGTTGACATAAAACTCTCCAACATAGTCTTTTGATACACGGAGAGTGAAGAGGTAATCCATTTACAGTAAGAAAAGATGCTACAAAGGACGTATCCGGTACGAACAGTCTGTGTTCCAGAACAAACAAGAGTGGGCTGAGAAGATGGTCCAGCGGGCAGAGCACTGGCCGCTCTTCTAAAGGGTTCAGTCCCCAGTACCCACAGGTGGCTCACAGCCATCCATAGCTCCAGTTCCAAGGGATCTGGTGCCCTCTTCTGACCTCCATGAGCTCCAGGCACAAGTGTCGTGCACATACATGCATTGAGGCAAAAATAAACACTCAGACACATAAATTAGTTACAAAAAGTTTTTTAAAAGACAAACAGTATTGGGGACATGGCTTGCTTTCTAGACCACTAGCCTGGCATGACAAAGCGCTGGGTTTGACCCAGCAGAGCACAACCCAGCACTCAGGAGATGGAGTCAGAAGTTCAAGGTCATCCTCAGATACACAAATTCCAGGCTAGCCTTGGCTATGTGAGACTACCTCCGTAAAGACACACATCACAAAAGATGGTTGTGATCAAAACACATTGAATAAATATATGAAAACTTCAAAGAATAAATTTCAAATATTATTTTAAAAAGTGTTTGAGTAGCTACTTTCAAGTGGCTTTGAGTTCATTACAATAAAACTGATTTAAGTAAATAAACATAAACAAACATCTTACTAGCATGCAAATTTGCTTTCATATTTGATAAACGATGAAAATTAGATGTATGCAAAATTAAGAAATTATTGTTTTGCATTTGGTATCTTACTGTTCTGATTTTCTGAAAGTCAGGAAACGAGGGTAGATGACAGGTCAACATGCTTTTCAGCATTTACAATGCTTGACTCCTCTACCTACCTACCCATCCATCCATCGTCTGTCTGTCTGTCTGTCTATCTACCTACCTACCCTTCCACCCATCCATCCACCCACCCACCCATCCACCTATCCATCCATCCATCCATCCATCCATCCATCCATCCATCTGTCCGTCTGTCTGTCTATTGAAACAGAGTTTCACTATGTAGTTCCGGTTCTCAATCTTTCCGCCCCAGCTTCTTACCACATGCAGCTTTAGCTCTGTGATTTTAACCTTTCTGGAAGCTCCTGTAATCTGATGGAAATCTCCTTCCCTGGAGCCTCTGTGTGTCCCCAGGTCTCTCCTGTCATCCCAGCTCAGCCTGTTCCCCTGTGTGACCCAGTCCCATCCACCCATCCGCCCACATAAGACTGTCAGTTTTGCCACTTGAAGTCTGGCTAGGTCCATTGGCAAGGCCTCTGTAACTGGAATTTTATAAACGTGTTGTGTTCATAACTTCCGACTTGCCATGGCTTCACCCTCCTCCACAGGTCAGGTGGAAGCTAGCAGTTTATGAAGCTTTCCCCTCTTGCAGCTGGAAAATTGGCAGCTGGGTGATTTAGAAGTGAGTCGGAAAGTCTGGGCCCAGCTGGCAGCGATGCCCTTCGGAGGGTGAGGAATGTTTACGAGTTTGTTTACGAAACGAAGAGAGCTGGGCTGTGTTCGCGGGGCTCTGGGCTAAAGACCCCTTCTGACCTTCTCACCTTCCAGCAAAGGGCAAGAGGGTCAGAGGAGGCTTGAATTCAGGGAGAAAGCAAAGCCAGGGGCAGGGTGACCCTGATTCCGCCCTGACACCACACCCCCCAAACAGAGTTCCCAGCATTATCCTTTCTAGAACGTTCTGAGATTAGCACCTCAGCATCCACAGGGAGTATGTCGACAGCTCAGGGCAGGCAGGAGGGCTCTGATTCGCGGTGCTCCACCCTGAGGTCAGAGGGGACTAGACCAGGCGCGGGAAACCAGGTCCTCGGTGCAGTGGACTTCTCGGAGCTGGAGAGCAAAAAACAGAGCTAAATCATGTCAGGGCCTGGTCACCAACTCAGCCTGTCAAGAGAGTGTCATTCTAGGCCACAGGAACACCAGAGTACACAAGCTGGCCCCTGAGTTTCCAGCACCCACGTTGGGCATTTCACAAACACCTGTAACTGCAGTCCTAAAAGATCCAATGCCCTCTGCAGGTCTCTCCAGGCTCCTGCACACAGATAGTCACATAAATCCATTCAGGCAAACATACATACTGTCTTAGCCACTGTTCTGTTGCTGTGAAGAGACACCAGGACCAAGGCAACTCATAAACTAAAGCATTTAATCAGGGCTTGCTCACAGTTTTGGAAGTTTAGTCCATTATCATCACGGCAGGGAGCATGGCAGCTCACAGAGACACGTGGTGCTGGAGAAGTAGCTGAGAGTTCTACATCCTGATCCACGGGCAGCAGAGAGAGAGATCCTGAGTCTGGCACGGGCTTCTGAAACCTCAAAACCCACCCTCAGTGACATACTTCCTCCAACAAGGCCACCCCCACTCCACCGCCGCGATCCTTCCCAAACAGATCCACTGGTGACTAAGCATTCAAATATATGAGCCTATGGGGGTCATCCTCATTCAAATCACCACACATACAAATAAATAAATCCACATCAGAGATGGGAACGAGAGCTGACTGAAGACAGGGCCCCCGAATCTACTCTCTTTTGGAATCTTGAAGGACCCAGCACCCCACAACTAGATGGCTCCAAGAATGACCGCAGACTCAGGATTACTGATGCCAACTAGGGATCCGTAAGGACACAGTGGAGGTTCGGGCATGTGAGGTCCCCTCCCCTCCCCTAAGGACACCTTGTCTTTGGTGTGTCCGCTCATTAGGACAGAACAGGCTGAGGCCACAGCCAACCTAAGGGGCTCAGTCACTCCCTTCAGCCCTGCCGTGGCTGGGGACTCTGCTCCCCCAGTGGCTGCTTCTGTCCTGCAGCTCCCACTGAGCCTTCTGATGGGACTCCGTGACCTATGAGTGACACTACAGCCAAAGCTGTTGGCTTTGACTAAAACACAGAAATAGATTGGGGAGCAGTCCCTAACAGCAATTTAAAACGTATGACACACAGGTCTTCTATAACCACAGCATGAACTCCTGTTGTGTCTTTATTTCCCAAACACCTTGAATTGATGAAATTCTCACTATAGACAGCAGAGGGCTCTGAGGCCAGTGAAGCATTCCAGTTCCTCCATGACAAATAATTCTCAACACGGCTTGGTTGTACACCAGTGTGTGTGCTCAGGTGAGCATGCGCACGCGGAGTTGGGAAGTCAGCGTCAGGCATCTTCCCTAGTCAACGTCCGCCTTCTGTTTTGTTTTCCACAAGACAGAGTTTTTCTGTGGAGCCCCGGCTATCCTTGAACCGGCTCTGTAGAGCAGGCTGGCCTCGAACTCAGAGATCCGCCTGCTTCTGCCAGCTGAGTGCTGGGATTACAGGCGTGCACCACCCCGCCCAGCTCAACTGCCACCTTCTAAAAATTACTGTTTTTATGTAAATGTGTGTGTGCTGAGCTTCTGGGAACCATGTTCGTGCAGTACCCACAGAAGCCAGAAGAGGGTCTTGGATTCCCTGGAAGTGTAGTTACAGAGCAGAGGGTTGTCCGCTGCCCTGTGGTCTGGGATCCTAACCTCTGGAAGAGCAGCCAGTGCTCACAACTGCTGAGCCATCTCTCCAGCCCCTTCCACCTTATTTTTTGATACTGAATGGAAAATTGGCTAGACTGACTAGCCAGCAAGCCCCCGGATCTTCCTCTGCAGCACTGGGGTTGCAGACCTGTGCCAAGGAACACGGTGCTGGTTATCCAAACGCAAGCCCTCACAGCTGTGCCGCAGACACTTCTGTCGGGGCTCACTCCAGCCCGGAACCTCCCCACATCCCCTCCCTAACCCACCTTTCCTGCTGGAGGGAGGAGCAGGCAGCAAGTAGTAACTTCTGCCCTGGCCCTTCCCAGGCAGCGCCATGTCAGTGGGAGCCGGAGCAGATCTGATCTTGCCTAGTTTGGGCCATGAAAGTCTCATAGCAGAAAATCCTGAGACAGAGAGGGTTCCCAGAGGCCACAAGAATTACTGAATGGCGAGATCTGAAGGAAAGGGGGAGTTTTGAACCACAGGAAAAGCAAGGAAGCCCTACCTCAAGGCATCTGAGCAAGGGTTTGAGGTTAATGGTGCATTGTAGGGAAGGAAATAAGGAAGGAATCTAGAAGATGTCGGGGAGCTACAGATGAAAGGATGTTAAGTACATTCACTGTGTGTGTGTGTGTGTGTGTGTGTGTGTGTGTGTGTGTGTGTGTGTGTGTGTGTGTAACTCTCTCATGTCTGAAGTCTCTGGGTTCCGGGGTTCCTATAGTTCTACTGGGATCCAGACACCTAGGATATTTGCTTTACCAACTCTGAGGGGCTGTTGACCACTTTCTGTAAAAGCAGGGCTCACAGAGTCAGTTATGAGGACTGGGCTGCCAGCAGTAGAGAGAGGAGCCCCTGGGAAGTTCCTGAAGTTTGGGGAGCCCATCATAGACTCACAGACATATTCCTGGTGGGGTGTCTGCTGGTGTGTGTCCAGCTACAGGGAACTGGGGCTGCTGAGTCCTTAGTCCCAACCTACGATGTCACAGATCAGAAGGTGTCAAGTGGGGCGGGCAGGAGGGACGAGACTCTGGTAGAGTACGTTCCTTCCCAGCAGGTCCTGCAGCAAAGAACCTAACTTCCCTTGAAAGTTCCTGTAATCCAGGTGAGTCCAATCTACTGAGCTTGTTGGAAGAGAGAGAGAGACAGAGACAGAGACAGAGAGAGACAGAGACAGAAACAGAGAGAGAGACAGAGAAACAAAAATCTCTTCAAGAACAGCGTGGGAATACTAGGTGGCAGCGGCATACTTTTTAACCCCAGGACTTGGGAGGCAGAGGAAGGCTGATCTCAGTGAGTTCGAGGCCAGCCTACTCTACAAAATGAGTTCCAGGACAGCCAGAACTGTTACACAGAGAAACCCTGTCTCGGAAAAACAAAACAAAACAAAAAAGAACAGAGCTGGCTGTGTTGGGGCCACAGCGGAATTTAACCCAGCAGGAGACACTGTTTTGATCTGAGAGTGTGGAACTCCTGAGGGAGGCTTCCAGGAAGGAGAGAAAACAGCCCCATTCAAGTCGGGTAAGTAATGAGGGTCCGCCTGTTGGCGACCTGCATGCTGGGCCCCAGTGAAGCCCAGTGAAGGGGATAAATGTGTCCCAGAGGTGCAGCCACTGAAGGAGAAAACAAGGACATCATGGCGGGAGGGCCGAGTGGAGATTTGTGGCTGTGGGAGGGTCCCCACTCGCCCTGGCTAGTCAAGTTTAAAGGAAGGCTTTGCATTCAGACTCTGGCCGTGGAACAATGCTTCAGTGAGCTGCAGAGGCGGGCAATGTGGATTCCGCCTCATTTCAGTTCAGAAAGAGCCTCAATGTTGGGGAATTAGGAGTCAGGAAGCAAGGTGTTGCACCATGAACATAGAAATAAAGCCAGGACTGGCCGAGAAATGCTTCATCTGTGGGGTCAGCTGCCAAGGGGGCCCCTTCCCAGACGGGCTGTTAGACAGGATCCTCCCAGGCTCCCCACGGCCCTTCAGAGGGGTCCCCGGAACCCCGGTTGTAAATCACAACCCTGTTATGCTTTGCATCACACGGGGTACTGTGTTATTTTAAAAGGCTGATTTCGAAGCCATTCAAGTTAATCTAGTCATAAAAAGTGCATATGCTCAGTTCAGAGCAGCCACCCCCAAAGGGCCCTGAAGAGCCTGAATTAAAAGGCTGGGGGGTGGCTCAGTGGTTTGATGCACTCTGGGTAAAACCAAGGACCTGAGTTCGACTCTCTAGCACTGCCCCCCCCCAAAAAAAAAGCCTAGAACCTGTCATTGTGTTCCAGTTTCAGTAAGAGACCCTTCTCAAAAAATAAGATGGAAAGCAACTGGAAGTTGATATCGATGTCCCACACACACACACACACACAAACCCACACACAGGCATGAAAACACACTAATACACCCACTCATGTGTGAGAAACCTTTATCCCAGACCACAGAAACACAGACTCTTCACTGGGACAACAAAGATACCCAGGCCATTGGAGGTATCGGGCATGAATGGTTTCCTCAGAGCTCTGCTGATGACCTTGACCCCACGGCAGTGGTGCTGAGGTGTGTGTGGGCTTTCCCCCCACGGTTGGCTGTGGGGATAGGAGACTCTTTGAAGCCACGGCCTCTGCAGGGGACAGGCCAGCCCCGGAGGAGCCTGTCTGTGAACTCCAACCCCCAGCTACCTGGACTTCACTTTCCCAAGGGCGACAGAGGGTGGCGTGACTTGCGTAGCCTCTTCCCGGAGTGACCCTTAACTGTAAGTGTCCCAGTCCCCCACATCCTCAGAGTCACAGATCCCTACCCCTGCGGTCCAGGGATCAGGGACAGCGTGGGGGCAGGCCTGTGCTGTGGAATGCTCACCGACCACGGGACATGGAACATCCTTCCTCTGAGACCTGGAAGGGACCATCCCCCACCTCTAGGACCTGAACTCTCCTTAGAGGCCCTGCCCTGCTGCTGTCTGTCTGTACTGCTCTCTGTCTGTTCATCCATGGAGTTAGGATCCCCTCTAGTAAGTTGCTCATCCCAAAAGAAGTCCTCCTTAGTGGCTCCCCTGAATCCCAAAGCCCCAACCTGTCAGTGACAGCCACTGATGCCTTCTTGTGGGAGTGAATTCTTCCGTGGACAGCGGCTGTCCAGCAGCAGGGGGCGCTCACCAGATCTTGGATGGGCCTCCAGCACCACGGGCCAAAATAGCCTTCTGTTCTTAGTAAGTCACTCACTCTGGGGAATTCTGTTATAGGAACAACAACAACAACAAAAGATTATGAAAGATGAGAATAGGTGACCCGAGAGGTCGCCTGGCCCTGGCCAGCCACACAGTGCATGGGAAAATCAAATACAAGATCAAGGTTTCCGGCACAAAGAAACCCAGGGCATCTGAAGCAACCGTGGGTGGAATCGGACGTTGTCAATCAGTCCCTGTCAGCAACATGTCGGTAATATTTACTGAGAACTGAGTCTGCCAAGCACTGTAGAGTTGTTAGGGACAAAAGACAGGCAATACTGACCGGGACGCTGCTGTATGAGTAAGTCTGGATCCCACAGCACAGACAGACAAGCAAGCTCCGGGGAAGCAGATGAGGTTGTAGGAGGGGAACCAAAATGTGCAGGACTCAAGTGCAAGCAGGGAAGGGTTGGGAGGAGGCGTGCAGGGGTGCACAGCCCACTCAGTCTCCACCCCTCTGAGCCTGAGTCAGAGTGGAACCTGTTGATGGTGGGGGCAGAAGGGGTGAGGGTGGCGGATGAGGGTAGGGTGAGGGTGTCAGGAAGACACGGAGACAGATAACTGGGGAATAAAGAGTTTATTAGTGGGGTTGGGGATTTAGCTCAGTGGTAGAGTGCTTGCCTAGCAAGCGCAAGGCCCTGGGTTCGGTCCTCAGCTCTGGAAAAAAAAAAAAAAAAGGAAGGAAGAAAGGGGGCTGGAGAGATGGCTCAGAGGTTAAGAGCACTGGCTGCTCTTCCAGACGTCCTGAGTTCAATTCCCAGCAACCACATGGTGGCTCACAACCATCTATAATGAGATCTGGCGCCCTCTTCTGGCCTGCAGTCATACATGCTGTATACATAATAAGGAAATAAACCTTTTTTAAAGAAGAGTTTATTAGCCTTATTAATGCTATGGACAGACAGACAGAGGGGCCACAGCATGGCGGGGGGCGGGGGGG